CTGAAGTACCATTTTTCTCCTCGAGAAAAATTATTCTATAAACTATTGATCGAAGCAATATCACGAATTTCTTTATCTCGCGGTTATTTTTCTAAAATACTACTTCTGCTCCTCCTCGAAAGACAAAAGTGCTTTTATAAAAAGTAATCAAAGCAATATCACGAATTCTTCTCTCCGCTGGAATAAACGGTAATTTTCTAAAAGCACCACGCAAAGGAGGACACACCGACCGAGATAACGTTCTCTCCTCTAATTTCCTTTTCGGGGAAGAACGTCATATCAAGGGCTATAATTTGAACGGTTCTAAACGGCGTGCAAAAATCGTCGACACCGACCACCCGGCCCCCGGTTCTTTACCGAATAATTATACCGTGCACTCGCGTCACGAGAGAGAACTCATTTCTAACACGTGAACGATGCTCGAGATTGATACGTGTTAAGGGTTCGTTGGCATGCATTCGGTCTTCGTTCTCTATCCGGTATGAACCTACTAAAAATACGTACACAACAGCGAGCGTTGAAGTGAAGCCATGCGCCATTATACGCTACGGTTTCTTCCTATGCGGAATTTATTAATATTTAAACGCGCATCGTTTGAATTTATATATTTATAAGAACGTCGTTACTTTCACGGAACGGTGCAAAATTCGCAGTAGTAGGTAGAAATGCTGGAAAGTAGAATGCATTTCCTGCGAGCTCATCTCAGGTACCTTTTTAGCATTCAAAGAAAGGAACGTCTGAAATAACGTTTCTTGCCGTTCTTATGCTTCGTAGAAATTCTATTTTCCATTAGGTCGTGAACAAAGTGCACGAACACAGCTGATCAAGAATTTACAATCACTAGGCCTTTCAACAAAAGTGAGATTTTTTTGGTTTTTGGAAAAATTAACAGTATCCTTTTCGGTGAAATAACAGAATGTGACTGTTACGAACCCACTGCCTTTCCCCCACACATTGTTATTAGATACTATTATAATATTCTTATTAACATTATTATTATTAGATATTATTATATTATTATTAACATTATTATTAGATATTATTATTATCATAACCAAACACCTTTATAATTACAAACCAAAACGCCAAGCAACTGCCACGGGTAGGAAAGGAGCAAAGTCGGGAAAAACCCATGAAGCGACGCTCGACTCCAGGCCCTTTTCCTGACCATTAGTTGGTCGGAAGCAAGGTGCCAAAACTAGTATAAAACCGACGTACCTGCTTAAGGTCGACAGATAGTGCACTTTTTGCAACTTTTCTTGCATGACTTCGACTTCATTTTTAATTACCAAATTTCTTTTTTATGATACCTAATGTCTCCAAAGCCTTTTAGAGTATAGGGCGGATCTACGCCAGGTGACTCTACACCAAATTCAAGCAAAAATCTACACAGGCGCTGCCTGTTAAAAAAAAAAAAGAAAAGAAAAGTCATTTCTTGCGGAAAGCCGACTAAGACTACTCTAGCATACACCGAGCAGACGTCTCCTTCGCGGATTATAGACGACACTCCTTGTTCTTGCAAAGGTCAGTACGGAGCGAACGAAGACTCCAGGACCAGGTTTCCTGTACCGTTACGGCCTGGTTCCGTAACAATGACCCTGTTCTTTTATTTTTCGAAAACGCTCGTAAGAGATGAGCTGCGTAATGTGATCACTTTAAATTATTCTGTTATCAGCAGATCGATGGAAAATCTTTTATTGCGTATAATATGGTTCGAAAAGGTTCTTTTTCTTTACGATTTCAATGTCATCTTCAACTTTTTGTATATAAGAGCACGATTTTGAATATTGTTTCGATATAAACTGAAATTATAAGATTGTCTATGAAAAAGAAACGCTGAAGATGACATTGGAAACCTACGGAAAAAAAAACTGATAAAAATTATACTATAATTATCTTAAGGGTCTCTTCGAGCTAACAAGAGAATAATTTAAGGTGATCGACCCTACATAATTCTATTACATAGACACGTGAAACATATAAAAATCTTCGTATCAAGAGTACTACCAATAGTGAAAATAGGAAAAAAAAAAAGAAAGAAAAACACACAATTATCAGACCGCAACCTCGTCACTTTTAATACACTGCTAAAGAGATCTGTATGAATATTTAACGATGTTATTCAGAATGCAATCCAACTCATAAATTACAATAGATTTCCCTTCGTTTAATCAAAATTCACCTTTTATACAATGCCGATCGTTAACGGATCTGAAAAGGCGGTAAGGAGGGAACCGAAGTTGAAATTCGGCAATTTGCAACATGTCGGTGATGTCGCGACTATTTTGTAAATGACTGCGGCTTCGCGCGACACGCGCCAGGTGGTGCACAATAGAGGCCGGAAACGAGGTTCAGAATCTCGAATACTGGCCGGCCGAAGATGCAAATGAATTTGAAGCACGATTCTGTGTAACGTCGCACAGCCTCGACACGAGTCGAGTCTATCGATTTGCGATCAAATCAGACTTGCCTCGATGCTTGGCTACAATTGAAACTAAAGACCGACCGATTCGATTAACCTTTCCGCAGACTATCAAATTTTCCTGTTTGTCACGGTGGCTGTAACCTCTCCTTCCTTTTTTTCCTGGAATCTACCGATGAATTCTCTCTCTCTCTCTCTCTCTCTCTCTCTCTCTCTCTCTCTCTCTCTCTCTCTCTCTCTGCTTCTTTGATATAGTTAATAAGATTTCAAAAGTACATTTACAAAACATACGCAGCGCAAGAAATATTCTTGTACATATATAAATCGCTTATTTATTTGAGATTAAATGAAAATGTTGGAGCGTAATGCGTGTTAAGTACTCGTTCTAAATCAACCGGCGACCTCATGAATATTTCTACAGGGTATTATCGCTAGAAACTTCGTTAACGTGTTATCGCGTATGCTTATTTGCAGTAGCGCGACCTTTAGGGTGCATTTATAATTGCGAATTGAAGTAAAGTTTCGTGAAATTTTCTTACTATATTCAGTAAAGAAACGCAGCGTAATAATTCTAAAGCCTTGACAATATACTATTTTTAATAAGATATTAATTAAAAACTGGAATAATGCAGTTTTCAGGGTTTACATATTTACGTTTTGTATATTGATTGGACATTTTTTTAAATCGTCATAGAGTTATAGGTATATTTTGAAACACCTGTAAGCCAAAGGACGTTGACTTCTATGATTTCAGGATAGTAGAATCTTATCTTTGATGATTTCTACATTCAGGGTAATCCTCGAATTTCATTACTCCAGGATCGTAAGACCTGAAATTCCATAATCCAAAGATTATACGATTATTCCAAAGGCATAGAATGCTGTCCATGGTGTCCATGGGATGCTGTGAATGGTGTCCAACATTCCCAGGGTTCGTTACAATCTCCGAACCTCTAACGTACTACGATTCAAGATGGCGTTAGAGGTTCGACTCGAGCCCTGTATCATGTAGCGTTAAAGAAGTTAAAGTCCCACGATGTCAGAGTCGTGAAATTCGAGGTCGAAAAATTCCAGTCCTAAAGATCATATAGATATTAAATTTAAAATCCCACAATCGTGATATGTTCTACCATGCATTCTGCTATTACGAAATGATGAAATTTGAAATTCCACCAAGTGCTTCGATTTATATTCCGCAGTTTTTAAATAGTGAAAGTCAATGTTCTTTGTCTTATGGCTTTGTCATTTTGTTTTCATACTAATACTTTAATGATATAATTATTTCAAACTTACCCAAACGATGATTTTCAAATTCACAGATCCCTCAGTATAGGAGGCAAGCAAGTGGAGACGATCGAGCGTACAAGGGACGGCACAGCCTGTGCCTACAGTGCTTATCACAGTACGAAGGGTATACCGGCAAGTGCTCGTGGCCATCGTGAAGAATTACCCATAGCGATGCGTGTCCTAGGTTCCGGTTACCTCACTACTTGTCTGCAGATCAAATATTACCGCCAAGATGATCAGAGTCATTGCGAATGGGGCGCCAGATTGCACTGTATCGAATTGGACTGTTCAAGCGTGGAAGGTAGATTGGTTACGGTAGACCGGGAAACTTATAGGAAACTCGGTATAGAATCTTAGCAGTCGGTGGGTGTTAATGTCATGAAAGCCATCACATAATGAAAACGGCTAATATTTGTTTCTTATCGCACGAGTGTTACGCTAGCGTATGACTGCTTGTCAATCGAGATTGGCTTATTTCCGATTGTTATTGAAATCTTTTATCGATCAATAAGAAAGAAGGAACGCATATGGCGGGCTTTCGTATGGAATTTGAACGGTGCAATTCTACGATGAAAGATATGGCCTGTTATAGTTTTTGATGGTGCTTTAAACGTATCGAGTTTCTTCACGTGAGAATATAAGAAAACAGCGTGAATGCTTTCGACAATTTCCTTGACATTGAAGAGCGGAGAAAAAAAGGGGAAGAACATCTAGTCTGTCTGTAGAATATTGATCGCTTTTTATAATAAGAAAGACGTAAAAAGATACCTGGTAAGGAGAGAAAGAACGTTCGAACGATTCCTTTTGATCCCTTAACGATCAGACATGCAATTATCAAACGGTGGACCCGTTTTATCAACGCGAATAAAAATATAATTTCATCCTCCTATTTTTCTATATCGAAAAACGTATTTGTATATACATACATATATGAAGAGCATACATGTATATATAATGCCATTGTTGTAAACTGATATAGAAAATAGATTTAATATAATAAGTGTAAGCGTACCTTATTTAATGAATTATCAATCACATATGTGAAATGACATTTCAGAACGATACGTATCATGTGGTTAGGAAACTCACATTTCGATGAATCGTACTCGTTAAGGAATCGATTAGGAAATCATTTATTCGATACTCGAGAGATGTAAGTATATCGACTTTTTCATGCAGTGTTATCGATGACAGACTAAAAAAGCAGTGTTATCGATGTTGGAATCCACTTGTCACATTTTTGCAGTATACATAACGTTTCAAGAATTGAGCATTTCATGCTTAATGACCAAAAATATGAACCTTGTTTGCCCATGATAGAAAAATTGCGAGCTAAAATGAAGAAATTTCAAAACTCCCATTATCTTGCATATTGATTTAAATCTGAATACGTATATCCGAAAAATATATACATGCAGAGTACACAAATACTTATTAGAGTAGATGTTAATGCGTAAAAGAGAAATTATTATTATGTTGATATTTATAAAATAAAATTATAAATGAAGAAACGTTTGAATAGAAATTTGTTGCCCGATACGTTATTTCAAAAGTATAAAAAACTGCGCAGACCAAACAAAAATATACTGTTATACTGTTATTAATATAAGTGAAACTTGAACATAATTTATGAGTTGGATCATCGATTGATTGCAAATTATTTCGAAAAAATTGCAATTTATTTTCTAGATTACAAAAATAGAAAGTTTTTTCCTTTGTCAACTATATTTTTTCATCAAAATATTCTATGCATTTTAACGTGCCTAAACACGAAACTTACGTAAAATAGCACGTAATGGTTACTACTATCGTGCCACTCGAGGCACGTTGAACTATTAATAGTACTGCATAATTATTGCCATAATTATTATAATTGTACCTATTGTGTTCTACATATCTCATGACTTTCCATTTTATTTAAAGTAATTATTGCATATTTCTATTAAGAATATAATTATTAAAAATTCTTGAAATTTTAAAAATACATTTTTTGACATATGTCTTCTTATAATTATCGTTATCTAATGTTTATATAGTTTTGTCATTGTTAAATAGTTTTTGTTTTAATTATATAAATTTTTGCGCTTGTGTGGTGTTAAAGTTATCTTATCATTTGAGTGTTAAATATATCATTATGTGAATATTATATATTATCAATTTAAGTATTTGTAATAAAAAAAAAAGAGAATGAATGAAATCTATCGTAAAAAATCACTATTTATAACTGATAACATTACAAACAGTATATTATATGTACAACTTTCATATATAATTATATACATATACTCGTACGGGTGCGTGCGCGCACACAAATGTATATCATACGTTATAAATTATTAACAAACTATACAGAATTTTGATCCTCATACTTTCTTAACTGTAGTACTAATTCATTGAAAATTTCGGCAATCAGCGAAAATGACCAAGCAGTGCCTCTATGCTTTGCGTAACCGTAAATACAAATTGTTCCTATTCTTGATTCACATACTTAGTCGTTTGTCTTATGATATTGGTATCTGTATATTTTAAAACCGACTGAAATAAATGATTTAATCCTTCAATTATTTGTTTGATGTTTTTGGTCACGAAATATATTGAATATATACGAAAAGCAAGATCATAATATAGATAATGCATAAAAGTGAAATTTATATTATATGACACTAAAATACATACATGTATCACACACATTTTTATTATTTTGTTCTCTTATCAAGACGCGGTTATACACCAAATTTTATAACGTAGGTGATTGATAATTTAATAGAAGAGCAACTAATGCCTTATTGGGTATTTTTTCTAATTGTGTTCTCATTCGTATTGCTAATTTGCTTGTCTGTTTCAAATACATTGCAGAATGATGTACTGCAATTGCATAAGGAATAGGACACCAATTTTGTTTAACAATTCCCCTAACAAGCGCCGTTAAGTAACTTTCTATTAAAGACGTATCTTCTTCGAGGGGATAAAAGTACTCTTTTAATGGGATAACTAGCTGTCCTAAAGGTAATCTGAGATATCGAAGCAAACCTGCGTGTTCCGACCATAACAATTTTCTGTAATGAACATCGTGCCTCTGCGCTATTGGTACCAACAGAGCCATTGAAAACCCATAATCACCATAGGAAGTTGAACAGAAATGTTCGCACATTGCAGTAAACAAATCAGTAAACGAATTCAGTCCCGGCACATCTATTGTGAAATTAAGTTTCTTGTAATTATCTTTTAATAAAGTTGTAGCAGCTCGAGTAAGCAATGCAGAAACATCACTATTTAAATACAACGTGTCACATAAATACACAAGAACTAATCTACTAAACCTCAAACTTTGTGATAGTTTTTCAACCAAGTCTGGTAATATTAACTCCAAACTTAGTACAGCTAAAATAAGAGTTTTATCATCTTCGTTGCATGAACTATTATTTCTGCACTTTGTATAAACATGTACCACAGGCAAATAAAGCCAATCTTTAGGCATCGCCGCTTGATCCCATGTACCATTTAATGCCACATATTGTTCGTATAAACCAGCCACGTCATGTTTTAAATTTAGTTTTATATCCTCAAGATTTGAATTTAAATTCATCTTTTCTAATTCATTTGTTACTATTTCCAAATTTAATTTCTCCTCTGCTAAGGCAACCTTAAGCATATCTTTTACATGAGATGGACAGTCGGCAGGTAAAGATGATACAAGTTTGACAGCAATTTTCCAAATAACATGTGCTGTCTTATTATCTAATTTATTTTTAACTAAAGAAGCTGCATTTACTATAGCAACCAAGAAAAATAATTCGGATCTCGTATACCACGATCTTTCTAAACACCATTTCGTTGTTTCCAATTTTTTTAAATACTTATAAAGTTGAGGAAGATTAATTACTGCTTGAATTTCTTCAACAAAAGAATGATTAACAAATGTATTTAAAACTGTTGCAAGAAAAGGCATAGAAGAATGTTGAAGTACTATAGGTTGTAATTGTCCATCATGGGTTAATACACCCAGGTGGGGTAAACAAGAAGGTTCACGTTCAGTAGCTAAAGAACAATCACTTAACAAATTTGAGGTAGAACTGCAAAAGTAAATTAAAAATTGGTTTAATATAAAATTTGATGTCATATACAGTATTAAATATATGAATGCAACTTACCTAAGTTTAGAAAACACTTGCGATCGTGATATGATCAATGTTTCAATTGCAGTACTATCACTAACTGCTAGTAACGTTTCTGCGATTAGTTTCATATTACCCCACTATAAAACCATACTTTTTTATAGTATATACGTTACATTCTTTTATATGTACATATCATGTAATATACTTAAATTCAACGTACCGTAACATTATTTAAGGATAATAATTGTGTGCTCCACTTGGATAGTAACACTGATATATTTGCTTTTAAAGGTGTCAAGCAACTTGCAACAGCAATTAGAGCTGCTGCATATTCACAGGACAACTCAGATGCACGTTGAATATCATGATTGCTTAATAAAAGCTGCAACTGTGATACAAGAACCAACTGTGCCCCAGTTAGACTATCCACTGCTTCTTCATGCAATAGTAATGTCTTCCATAATCGTAAACTTTCAATGCTAAGATTAAAACTGGCTTTCCTATGAAAAATATTATAATTTATGTATGTTATATACATTATAACAGATGTTTTTATCTAAATAAAAATGTATTTTAAAATTACCCCGCATCACAGCTGACATATGACATAATACGCTCCACAATTTTAAGGTTGTTTAACTTGTTAGCAATAGATTTTCCTTCATAACAAAGTAAAACGCGACAAAATCTAACTGCAGCGATTACAGGAACTCCATAAACATTATTTATAACATCTGCCATTGCTGAAATTATGCAAAATATATTCCGTTAGCGATTTATTATTATTATTTTAATATTCAAAAAATATGTACCTAATGGATTTGCAGATAATGGTATAAAATGTTCAATTATAGTCTCTAATAAGAGTGGAGTATCTGCAATTTTTAAGACAGTAATAGGTGAATGTCTTACAAGTCGAATTAATATTTCCAATGCACATGTTACGCCAATAGGTGGTGGCCGCATTTCACTCAAAATATATCTGCAAACAAATTTATTTAATTTCTTATCTAAATATTTCACCATATCTATATATTTGTTTGTTAATTTGTACTAATAATATTATTAAAAATACCTAATTCTTATAAGTATATCAGTTCTCAATAAAGCAGCAATGGCATCCAATTGCGCTAATTCGTGATCTTTTAAATTACTTGTATCAGTCACATCAGTTTTTGGTGTTGCCAGAATAGGTTCATTGTAATTTTGAAAACCATATAGTCTATCTAAGCAGACTTCATCTGCTTCACTATATAAAAAAGCTTTAAGTGCTTGCAAAGTTGCTGTAACCACACCAACTGAAGTATCATCCAGTGAGAATCTCAATAATAATAAAATATTTCTTTGACTTAGTGCAGTCAAAGGTGCAGGTTGTAATACTTTATCATACCAGCCCTGACGACTTTTTTCTATGATATTTGCTAATGTTGTAAGAGCTGTACAACGTTGCTGTTGCGCTGATGATCGACTAAGTTGTAGAAGTTCCTGTAGAGAATATCCCGGACGTTCAGGTTCTTCACCATGATGATGGAGACCTTTTTCAATTGGCACATTTTCATCTTTATATGCCAGCAATACACCTGTTAAAAACATATTAAAAACTCAATATATCCCTTACACTTATTGCATATTTATATGAACAACTTACCATTAAAATCAAAACGAGCATTGTATGGTTCATCTGAAGCAGGTTCATCTTTTTTCTCAGTAGGTAAATCTTCCATCCATTTTAATTTTTCAGGTTCAATAGAATCCATATGTACCCAACCCTTTTCTTTAGCTTGTTCCATTAATTCTATGGAGGGTTTTGGTATACTTTGTTCGGGTTCATCTACTTGCATTGGTATAATATCAACATTTTTAGGTATACTTTCATTAGGTCTGTCAAAAACATTTTCTGTAATCAACTTTTCCCCCTTTATAGATATTGTATTTTGATCTTGAGTTTCCTCAATCAATTTCTCATGTTCCCTTTGATTTTTATTTACTTTTTGCTTCTTACTTTTCCTATTTTTTAAAAATTGTATTAATTCTGGTTTCAAAGTCATTTCAAGTTTACTTTTCTCTTTCAATATGTCTTCTTGACTCATCTGGTTTAATTTTTCTAAATTTTCATTATGTATTTCGTTTGCCAAAGATCCTTCTACAATAACACTATTACTATCAGTAGTAGTTAAAAGTTCAGAATTCTGGAATTCTACTTTCTTTGTGGCATGGGCTTCAGCAGAAATTTGTTGCCAAAATAAACTTTGGCTCTGATTTTTATCATTTTTCTGAAAAAATACAACATTAACATAACAAATATATTGTTTTAATTTCCACATTATATAGTAAAATAATATATGTACCGTATGTTTAGAAACAAAAACTTCAGGAAAACCTATATCCGAGCAAGAGGGTTCTTTTTTATTAAATTCATAATTGCATGCATCATATTTCTTCTCCACAATATTTCCTAATATTATTCTTGAAGGTGCTAATGGTATGTTACGAACAGAATCCTGCAGACCAGCTTTTAATTTTTTTTCTGTTTCTTTAATTGCAGGATTTATAACATTACCACTACTTTGCGAAGTAAAAAGTTTGTCTTGCACTTTCAGTTTTTTCAATTGAGAAAATTTTGATCTTACTTTACCAGAACTTGTCTCATTTTCAGTAGTTGTGTTAGAAGTAGTATTAAAAGGATTTGCGAATCCTCGCAAATTGATTACTTTTGCGGATGGTTGATGTTTATTTTTCAAAAAGTCTTCTTGCATAAGAAATAATTCTTTCTCACTATCAGTTGGTTTAGGTCGCTTCAAAACTGGTGTTTCATCCATCGTTTTAAAATTTATTTTTAAATTTTCAGTGTCACAGTGTTTCTGCATGTGAATTGCTTAAAATATTTGACATTAAATATTTTTAGGTTAGATGCATATACATAAATATCGATATTTTCTCCTTTTCTTACATTATTTATTGTTCATTACGAAATGTATATGTTATTAATATTACACTTTCAAATTTATTTCACCTTCTTCGTCGTGGCAAAACTAAAATTCGATATTTTTAACTAAATTTAATCAAATAACCAAAGTACACGAAGTATGATCAACTTCTCACGGTACAATACGATGTTGATTTCGTTTATACATATGTTGCATCAGCTTTGTTTTCTATGTAAATATTCAAAGCTACAGATTATAATTTTTCAATGTGGCAGTAACTATTATTTAGATATAAATTTTTTATATCACATTACAAAAGTTATTATATTCATTATAAGTTAAAAACAATATACACATGAATTTGACATAAAATTCTACTTCATAATCATAAACTCTGGTATTATTAATTTTATTTTTGAGTAATAGGGCCATAGTATACCAATATTTTA